TATATATATATATATATATATATATATATATATATATATATATATATATATATATATATATATTCCATGTGTATAGCACACTGCAAACCACGAGCAAAACAGTAAGTCTGTGCACGTCGCACCATCTGCTGAATACTTTCTGGAATCACCTTCCATTTCTCGAGTTTACAGAGGAAAAAAGTTGCACTAAGCGGTTATCATTCTGAATTCAGCCATGCAACTAGACTAACCGAAACAAACCTAAAGCAATCATAAAACAAGTCTAGAGATAGAACTGAAACATTACTATCAGCAAGCGAGCTTGTGGTGGCCAGATGAATGAACGACTGCGATAAAACCGTGGTCTACGTGCACATTTTATTTGGGACGGAACTAGGAATTAGGGACGACGAATTCGGTAGACTTGGTGCAAAGGGACAACCAACATTGATAACCGATTTGTAGAATGGTTTCTCTCAGTAAAGGATATCGCTTAAATAACTACCTGAATATACCAACATGACAACAGTGCTAGATAAAGAATATTTGTTTACCCAGAAGGGTCTATTCTCAAGTATTTTTAAATTTATTATATAATTAAAAAATTTTGGCGCCATTTTAGTCTTCGTCGTTTACTACCAGCTGACGGGCGCTGTTTGAACAGTTCGGTAGATTTTCTCACTCTTGGCATCAATTTCCAAGGCCCCTATGTCCAGAGACCAGAACACTATATAAGCACATAATCTGACACTGTAAATCTGACTTGGTTTAGGTGGCTCAATAATCCGTTCGTTGCTCCCCGCCTGCGTTCTCATTTTCCGTAGCTGGGAGAAGGTTACTGGTGCACGTTGCGTGCAATCTGGGCTGTGTGGCTGTTGAGGTACGCGCTCCGTAGTGTTCGGACCTACCTCGTATTTCCGTGTGTGTTCGCGTCCCGTGATATTGTGCACCTCCAAACAGTGCTTCTCATCCAACATCGTAGTGAGTCCCACTACTACTGTGTTGTCTCATGCTTGGTAACGATGTGTCGCACACCATTTTTGTATGATTGTTTTAGTGTATTACCTGTGTTGCGTTACATATGAGTGAGCGTGAGCGACACAGCAGACAGTTAGGCCGATTAACTATTTCTTTGTGTATACACAATGTTGAAAAGATGTGGACAAACAAGCAAACACAAAGGAACTTACATTTGGTAGATTGCTCCTAGTACAGGCTCGTAAAAAATACGTTGTTCTTCCAGACGAAGAAAGACGCGTTTGGAGAGTAAGACAAGCACATTGAGGCGAGCAACTATCAAGTGCTTTGGATCTGTCACACACGGCGAATTACGATTACTCAGATCCTCAGATCCAATGTATGGGTGCGTTTCAGCCGAACCGGATCCCGCGTATGTGTGGAAAAGTTTCGGATCGCGCCACAGTAGACGAGCATGATCATGCCAAATATCGCGTAAAAGCTCGAAAACCAAGAGAATAACGTCTATAAAGAGCCAAAGGTATTATAGCAAACGTGTGTTAAGCGGAACAGATATTTTACAATGCGAAATATCAAATGTGATCGATCGCAGGTGTCCAGTGATGGAGTCTATGACCTCGGTGGAATAGTGGAGAGTGGGCATTTGACGATCATAGTAAGTTCGAACAAGCCGTACAACGTGCAACGTGAAGTTTCGTGAGTGCCTGATAAACATGACCCATGGAAAGGCAAATAAGAGGTCTTACGCAATTCTGAAAAAACCGACTGGAAATGAAGTGTTTTGCATGAATCGGGGGTAAACTCAAACAGCCCAATGAGTTCTTAACGAAATCCTAATGGTCGGAGAGTGATTTAAGAAGCCCTAATGACACGACCGTGTTGTGTAATCGCTCGCTGCTGCGTAATCTATAATCACTGCAATAAAAACGAGGGGCAAATGCAAGCAGACGTGCCTCATTCCCAATTCAGTTCACTTCAGTTTAAACCATGCACGCATTTCCGAGCGACGCTTTTGGTTGCTGTCTTTTGGCTGCCCATTCCGGTTAACAATAGGAAAAACACTGGGAGGTTGAAAGCAGGATGAAAGAGAAAATNTTAAAATTTCAGTGGACTAATGATGCAGAGAAGTTGACGAGATGCACGAACACCACTGTTTACGATACCCAGCCATAGCACTCAGTGTCTCTAACCATCGGTGACCATCATCCCGAAGTCCCCAGCCAGGGAGCCTAAAAGGACATACGTGACACAGATTCCTGGTTAGGCTTGTCATACACCCATCCCAGGTCTTAGCTTGACCACTCTTGACTTTCCTCCACCGACTACCTGCCTCGGCAAACATCGCTCACCATCACAACCTATCTGGTGACATGCGCAACATGCCCCAACCAACGTTATCTATGGAGGTCGACCACTTGCTCCAGTGGGCAACCGCAGTTGCCTAAAACTCTGCACCTGTCCACAGCATTACTCTCCCGGCTGCCCCACCAGATTCGAGCAATGCTGCGTAGACAGGGGTGTGCAAACACTGACAGTCTATCTTTATCCTGTTTTCTTAATGGCCAAGTTTCTGCTCCATATAGCAGAACCGGCCGAACTGCTGCAGCATACACTCGACCCTTCACAGACTTATTTGAAAGTAGGCGCATCAAGATGGTAGATCGGTATAGCGTAATCCGGCGAAGCAAACTTCTTTGACCGCCAACAAGCCCAATGAAATGCGCTTATCGTCTATATGTGCATGCCGAGATATTCATGAACCTTTGTTTATATTGTGACTGGCAGGGATGATGATGATGATGACGACGACGATTCACGGGCCTTCATGTAACTCGGTGTATTGTATAATTCGTATTTCTCTAATGCACTAAAAGCTTTCTATAATCTACGTGTTTCAGCAGGTTAAATCAAAATCGAGTATTCCTCATGGATCGGGTTGTTTATTCATAAATACTGAACACTATTGCGAGACGTGTAGTGATCAGATGAGATCTAAACGAAACCGAATCAATCCTTGTTACGCAGTACGGACAACAACTAACGTGCGACGTGCATTGAACGAGGGTATTTAAACTAAGGTATGAAAACCCTAAAATACACTATGAGCACTGCCAAACAACAATGTAAATTATTTTTTTTCAAATTAAAGAAGTAAAGTAGAGTAAACTTGATGGACTCACCTTGGCGGAGATCGATATTCAAAAGTGCGGCACTATATTTCAGCGAGGCTATAATTGGGAAAAGCCAGCATTAGTTCAATCTCTCAATGAATCTANCTAAGTGGCCGTAAGTATCAGAGATTTACAGACGAAACGAATACCTTAAAATGATCAGAAAAGATAAAGATGGGAAATGGGAAAAATCATCTAGATGTATGGGGCTTCCCTATTACATATTATTGTATGATAACAGCAAAAGTGGATCCCACTGATACGGGCACCTGGTGTCTTTTATTTTTCTTCGCCTTCACAACCACCGCTCTCGTTTGTTCGTCCCGTGCGACCTATCATCATCGTACAGCGAAATACAGTGAGGCTATTTACAATAGGGATCAACGAATTGATCGCTGAGTGGAATACTACAGGGAAGTTTAGCTGGCCTGATTGCCTCTTCTGCGATTGAAACCTTTTGGACACTGTTGTGCGATCCTCTAATAGAAGCAGAAGTTCGGTCTTGCAGCCAAGCTTTGAAGCGAGCAAAGGCAGCTGGACTGAATGGGCTCCGTCCCACTCTGTTTAAGATGGGGGTGGCGTGACAACCTCGTAAGCTGTATCACTACCTTACTGCGCAACAGCTGAACGCAAGAGCGTATTCCTTCATCTTGGGGCGAATTTCTAATCGTTCTCATTTTCAAGAAGGACCACTTTAAGATTGTGAAAACCATCGTGAGATAAGTTTGATGCCAATCGTCACCAAAGTGCTGGCCTCCATCATACTTTGGCGTCTGACTCCTTTAAGAAAGATTAACATAGTAAACACCAAGCCGGATCCTGTCTTGGACGTGGATGTATTGATCAAATTTCTACGTTACGTCAGGTCCTTGAGCTGAGTCACACCCACCGTCGACCAACGATCGCAGTATTCCTTGACAATATTCAGTATGTGCTTTGTATACTCAAAGTGAGAAGTGATTCTACAAGACTGGGAGTAGCCTAACCTGTTCTGAAACCAAATGGCCAGGAATTAGTCATGGTGGATTGTTTTTCCTACTTAGCCAGTTGTGTGATCAATGACGGTAACGTAGAAAGAAGATAACCGCCTGCAGTTTCAAGGCTCGAGCAGGACTGAAACACCTTTGGTATAGACACAACGCTCCACCTAGCTGGAGAACAGATAACAGTGATCGAATTTTTCAGTTTCGCACGGATCACATACCGTAGTCTGGTTCTCTTTTTATACTGTTTCTATTGAATATTATATGAAGCTCTTTTTTTCTGCTACAGCTCATGTACCGGATTTATTGGTTGAGTAGAGTGTACAATTCCGACTCCGAGTCTTCTTCGTTCCGCACCCGTTTGCTGGATTCGTAAAACGTTAAAATTTATTCAACTAATAATGGACCGTTACCTTTGACCCGACCAATTTGATGTCGATCTGAACGCTGCAGACGCCTCCAAACAATGGACCTACTGAATAAGTACTTTCAACACCTTTTTAAAACAAATGCGATCCGATGACACTGATAATCTAAACCTAATCATAAATTTCTTGGCAACTTCTGTGTATGAACAAATCTCTGAGTGTAAGACATTTGAAAACGCCATCCCCCTGCTCGAATCACTGTACGTTCGTCCCAAAAACGTGTTTGCGTGGTACATAATTTCTACTTGTAAACAGGACGCTGGGCAAAACAGACCAGTTTGTTCAAAACATCAAAACATTTGCTAAATGCCATTATTTTCGGTCCATCTCAGCCGAAGAATACTGCGACGATGCTATGCGCGACGGGACTCGTCTCGTGTCATTTGTAGGAAACTGCGGGAACAACCATCTCTAACCTTCCAGTCGGTATACGACATGGTCAGATCCCTAGAAATAGCCCAAAAGCAGTCGCGGTCAAACGAATCAGAGGGTGTTCCGGATGCGTCGACTAATTCGCTCCGTCCGATCACTGTTGTCACCGACCCTGAACCCGTTTTATTAGCGGTTTTCAAAGAGGCGTGTTATTTTGCGGCCATTAAAGGCACCCAACAAGTGCCCCGCTAGAGAGGCCATCTGTAAACCCTGCGGAAATAGGATACTTCAAACATGTTAATCCAAACCAACGCATCCATCGATTACATCTGCCCTTAGTCCTTTATTGTTCGCCACCTTCACTACCGCGGCTCCCACTTGTTTGTCCCGTCTCATTACCACCGTTTTTGCTAATGGTGTTAAACTTCAAGCACTAACAGACACTGATAGCTCCGACAGCTATGAGTCCCATTCCATTGTAAATACCTATGTTTGGAAAGTCTATCCTTGCGACAATAAAATTAACATGGCCTCCACCTCCTTCTCTTGTGCTATCACTAGGTATTGTAACGTGATGATCCCATATTGAGACGCTTCCTATGAAAACATACGACTCGCCATAATGCGCAATCTTGCCTTGGCTCGGGCAATCTGGCAGTATTCGACCCACATGCAAATTATGGAACGTTTTTCTTTTTTATAAAGATTATTGTACCGCCAAAATTGAATCGCCTCCCTTGTTCGCCCACCTCTCTGTTGACTATAAACCAATCGCTACCAAATCCAGAAGACATTCAGCTGAAGATGTACAGTTCATTAAGTCCGAAATGCAACGTCTTCTAAGCGATGTCATCATTGAACCTTCAAACTTCCCTTGGAGGACTCAAGACCTTGTTATCAAAAACGCCGATCGAAAGAAACGAATGGTTGTTGATTATAGCCAGACGATCAATCGCTTCACTCAACTAGATGCTTATCCACTACCCCGCATTGATACAATGGTGGAAGACATTTCACGCTATGCCGTATACGGTTTTTTTATTACACACCTGTGGTGAACAGCAGTCGGGGCGAACCCCATAGTCACGCGGACCTGCTGTTTGGTAATGGTAACCGGCAACCTAAGCCCCGGGGCTTGGAGTGGTGGACCATATAAGACCCCGCTAGCCTAGGCGTGGTATAGAACCAGGCGACAGCAAAATTGCCTACCACCAAAAGCGAAAAGTGTCTATCGTCAGATTCCCATCAAAGACCACGAGAAGCCTTACACCGCATTTGAAGCATGTGGCAATCTCTTTCAGTTCTGCCGAATACCGTTCGGGTTACTAACGATGTCGCTTGTTTTCAACGCACCATTAACAAAATTTTAAAAGCACGTCTGAAGAATGCGTTCGCATACATAGACAACGTCACCGTATGTATTTCAACCCCGGATGACCAAGATCGAAATCTCGAACGCTTCTTGAAAGCCGTCGCTAAATATGGCATCACTCTGAATGAATCAAAAACTGTAACCGATCAGAAAGAAATGCATCTCCTTGGGTATCATATATCACAGGGCCTTATCAAACCCGGCCGAGATCGAATGAAACCCCTGCGTGAAATTCCCCCATCTGCGGACAGCAAGTCGACACGCCGTACGATTGGTCTCTCCACTTACTACTCGCAGTGGATACCGTCATTTTCGGACAAAATCAATAAACTAGTTTAGAACAAAACATTCCCTTTACCAAAATCCATCACAAACGCATTTGAGGGACTCAAACAAGACTTGGAAAATGCCATGCTTGTGACCGTAGACCATGAGATACCTTTGGTGGTAGAAACAAACGTTTCCGAAGTAGCTATAGCAGCATCACTCACTCAAAATAACCGCCCTGTAGCCTTCTTTTCGCACACTCTGACTCAAAGCGAACAACACCACTCCGCTGTCACAAAGGAAGCTTCGCCATAGTAGAAGCGATTTGCAAGTGGCGACACTATCTTCTGGGCAGACATTTTATGCTTATTACGGATCAACGTTCGGTAGCCCATATCTTTAATAGCAACTACGCTAGTAAAATCAAAAACGACAAAAGTCAGAGAGGGAAACTCGAGCTGTGGGCTTAACAGTATGACATCGTATACCCGTCCGTCGCGAACGCACCTCGTAAAGTGTGCTTCCAACTTCGACTGCCAGAAACCGGAGAACCTACACGACTCGCTGTGCCACCCTGGAATCAAGCGTATGCTCCACTTTGTGCGCTCCAAAAATCTGCCGTACTCGACTAAGAAAGTTAAAACAATGACATCTCGATACAGCCTATGCGCCGAATTGAAACCGCACTTTCATGAGTCACTCACGGGCGCCTAGTGGAGTCTATGCAACCATTTGAAAGATACATTTTCGACTTCAGAAGGCCATTACCCTCAACGTCTCGAAATCGATACATTCTGACGCTCACAGACGAATACTCCTGGTTCCCAATCGCCTTCACCCGTCCAGATATGCACTCGTCTACGGTCATTAACTGCCTCTGACAACTATTTTCGATCTGCGGCATGCCAGCCTATATCCACCCGTCGTTCTTATCGTCTGAACTATTGACTTTCTTACGAGAAAAAAAGTGGATATCGGTCATACAACCGCTTACAATCCGCAATCTAATGGTCAGGTTCAGCTATTGAACGGAACACTTTGGAAAGCTGTTTTCCTGGCACTGAAGACGAGGGGCTTAGTAATCTCTCAATGAGAATCTACCCTACCGGACGCACCGCACTCGATCTGTCTTCTGTTGTGCACCGCAACAAACGCCAATCCACATGAACGACATTTTTGTTTTGCCCGACGCTCCACTAATGGTACGTCCCTTCCAACCTGGTTGACTACCCCTCAAACGCATTGATCGGTCCTCAAAACTGGATCCCGTCGTGGAAGAAGTTAACCTTATCAACTGAAATCCGCATTAAGCCTTGGTAAAACTTCCTAATGGAAGAACAGAAAATGGTTCCATTCACAGTTTAGCTCGTATCCTCGAGACCCTAGCCATCAATGTGTTGTATCCAAGAGACTCGCATTCAAGACTCAACCTCTGCCATCCAACTGACGTCCCCATCAAACCCGTACGCGAAGTTTCACTTGCGTCCTTCTGGGGACCCTGAGGTTGCGGCTTCTGGTCTTGCTGGCGTTGACGTGGCTCTCAATAAGAGAGCTGAGGCCGCGCTCCTGGATTGGATCCCCGTCGATAGTAGGTTATGCACAGTGAAAATTAGAGGCTCATGCAACGTAAATAGTCGTCGCGCCGAAAGACGCAACTTGTTTGTCGTCTCCGTGTACGCACTCACTAACCGTAGCCTAGATACAGTCAAAGAGATTTTTTACCAAACCATCACGATGAGAGTGCACCTTGACGTGGTGTCATGCTTTGTGCCTTCATGACCCTGCGAGCTACACATGATGGCTTTTCACAGTCGTAGATCCTGAGGTTACATGAGTGTGCTCCCAGAGTCATTAGATACCTCACTTACGCCTACTTTCCTTGGACCTGTACTCCTAATTAAACCAAAAAGATTGCGACCATTACCGATAGCTGCAGCCTTCTCCATCTCTCTACACTTCCCTACCCACTGCCCTTCTACTATTGCCGATAGCCGCAGCCTTCTCCATCTCTCTACACTTTCCTACCCACCACTTCTCGCGGTCGCCTCAGACTCTTGATGAGCTGGCGTTTAAGGGATTTGCGCGCTTTGTCGTATTTTGAATCAGAAGGAATGGCTTTGCGAGCGTCCGGCAAGGCAACTCATGGGATATCACTCAGCGTTCAACTAATAAGGTCAACCACTCAGAGGTTATCAGAATTTTGAAACCAAAATCCCCTTTTAACTGAGTTGCACTCAATAGCCGCACACTCTATCAGATCGGTCAAAAAGCTACCTCAGCTAGTGCCCTTGAAACCTTCCAAATAGATGTATGCTGTGTCTCGGAAACACGCATACAAGAACCTCCCTCCATCATCTCCCACCGTTTTCCAGATCCAACCTCATCCTTACGCTTCACTCTCCGAGTCAGGCAATTCAGCATCCGAAGCTCACGGTGTTGGGAGTACTCTGAGCGTTCACTTCTCGATTGGATCCGGGTTAACAGCCGACATTGCACTGTATGTGCGAATGGTTCAGTACGGGTCAACACTTACCTTTTTTACTTCACGGTGGCTGGCTCCTGGGAGAGGATAAGCCGGCTTCATGGACACCTCGAATTGCCGCTGCCCACGCTCGGAGATCTGCGCAGATTGTGATCCAGCTTGACTTCCATTGGCGAACGCCGTAGACGGAACGAAGACCAAGGTCTTCAGTATCCTTTCGTACCGTGTCAAGCCAGGTTTTCAGCTGTCCACAGTGCCGACAGCGTCAGTTCGGGCAGGGAGGCGGTGCCAAGACAACTTTTATTAGGTCGTTATCGGACATACGAAGGATGTGGCCAAACTCTTGTAGTCTCCACCGTTGCATTAGCGTCCTCAGCCGTACAAGATTAAAACACCGATTTCTGACCACTTCAATTGAGAGTTGATTCCTCCATCGTACTCCCAGAATGATTCTTAAGCACTAGTGATCGAAGACTTCTAATCTATGACAGTCTTCGACTCTGAGTGAGCAAGTTTCGCAGCCGTATAGCAAAACAGGACAAACTGCTGCAGAGAAAACTCGGATTTTTGTCTTGAGGCTGATTTCATTTCTGCGCCCAAGGGGATTCTTCAACTGTAAAAAACGCAGCGCATTTGCACCTCGTCTTTAGCTTGGCCGTTAAGGGGAATGGTTGCGCCCAAGTATTTGAAGCTTTCGACGGATTCGATCAGCTCGCCATTTAGTAGTAAAGCATTTCCGGGATGAATCGGCAGTGTCGCAAAGGTTTTGGTTTTTGATGTGTTCACTTCTAGGCCGATCTCGGAGGCCTGTCGACTGATGCGGTCAACGATTACTTGGAGGTTGGACACGTCCCCGCCAAAGACGACAATATCATCCGCAAATTCTAAGTCTGTGAGCCATAAGTTCGGATAGATCTGAACTCCCTGGCATCCTTCCATCGAACGACCCATTATCTAGTCCACGACAAAGTTGAACAGCATTAGGGACAATGGGAACCCCTGTCGCACTCCAAATCCTAACCCGAACTGGCAAGATTAATCTCCGTAGACACGGATTTGGGTGCTAGTGTTAGAAAAGTAGGATATCATCAAGTTGACAAGTTTGACTGGGACACCATTGGCCAGAACTATGGTCCAGAGGGATTCGCGATCTACGGAGTCGAATGCCGCACGAAAATCGATGAAGCAGACTGTTGTAGGCTGTTGAAATTTGTGGCGATGTTCCAAGAGTCGACTTAGAGTGAACATTTGATCGACGCAGCCCCCACCGGGGCGGAATCCCTTCTGGTAAGGACGAGTGCGTGCGTGCTTTGTTGCAGCAAAGCGCTTCAGCAAAAGTTGTGCAAAAACTTTGGCCGCCACGTCAAGTAAGCTGATGCCTCTGTAGTGTTCGCATACTGATTTGTCACCCATTTTAGGGAAACGTAGTACAATCAATGTGGTCCAGTAAGTTGGGCAAATTTCGGTTTCCCAGATTGCACACAGTAAGCTATGAAGACGGTTTAAAATGGCTGAAGAATGCTTTGCGTAGACTTCCGTGGCTTGAGATGG